TCAACCGTTCCCATAAAACATGATATTGTTGAAACATATTTCAAAAATTAACTTTAAAAAATGTTCACTTTTTAAGAACTTTGCAAATCAGCCAAAGGTTACCTTGCTTCTTAGATTAGCCACAGAACAAACTAACAATTATCTGCAGTCATATAGCAAACAGAAATATTGGAGTCTTTCAGATGTCTGCCACTGTTAATCTAAATCCGTGCAGTAACTGGTTTTCTATGATGAAATTCTTGGTTTGTCTTTCAACACTATAAGATCTGGCTATTCCTCTTAACTTCATACTCCACATTTCTCATTGTCGACAAAAAGGTATTTCAGAACTAATGGTTCATGGAAGAACACTTCAGTTAAAAGAACAAACCTGAAAACAGCAGTTCAGAAAAAAAAAAAACATAAATCTTTTATTTCAGGCAACAATAAGCTGCACTGTTAAGAAACAGATAACAAAGGTTCCAGGTAGGAGTCACGGTATGTCTTACAATAAAGTATTCTTTATTGGCAAGACTACAATACAAGATGCAGAAAGTCATATTTACTGTTGATTTGCTACTAAAAAATCTTCCAAAAAAAAAAAAATCACAACCCAAAGTACTACACTTCAATATATACGGGAAGCAGGGCATGGATTCAGTCAGCCCTTTAAAGACCATAAAACAATAAGGTAATTCTATGTGAAAAACTATGACTGACATGCTGCATACAATACATGTGAAAATCCTCCAGAATGCACAGAAAATAATACTTTTAATGAACTAAGTTTTAATTTATTTTTAATGGTCTTTTTATATCCCAGGTTTTCTCTGGCATAATGGCTGGATGCTACTGAATTTAAAGTAATTTTAAAGGTAAATTAAACAAAAAAAACAAAAAACAAGCATGTCATACTTATCTGCTCTGTGCAGTGGTTTTGCACAGAGCAACCATTATCCTCCTCTTCTCAGGTCTCCTGTTATCGCTCCTAGCTCCTGTTCTCTGATGAGTGCCCCCATAGCAAGGCGCTTGCTATGAGGGCACTTGTGCATGTTCACTCCTGAGCCGGCTCTGGGTGTCCATTGACACATAGAGGCAGCTTGGACCCTCTACTGATCTCTCCTCACTGGCTGTGACTGACAGCAAGAGCCAATGGCTCCCGCTGTTGCCTCTCTGTCCAATGAAGAGAGCCTTTGCTCTCGTGCACATTGTGGAATCGAGATCGGGCTCAGGCAAGTATAAGGGGTGCTGGAGGCCAAGAACTGCTTGCCAAAGGTTTTTTAACTTAATGCATATAGAATGCATTAAGGTAAAAAAAAAAACTTGGACCTTTAGAAACACTTTAGGGCAGGACAGTTATTTTGAAAGGGGTACTATAGACATTCAAACGTTTTCTGAAAGGGGAACTATAGATCTCTAAAGGTTTTCTGAAAGCGGAACTACAGACATTCAAATGTTTTTGGTTCAAAGGAACTATAGACATTCAAAGGAATATATTGAAAATACTAACTCAATGGGAATAATCCTATCAATGTGTATTAGGACTTGTTCACACCTGCGTTATACCTCAACTGTCGGTGTGCACCATAAAGGGAGCTGCTCCGATGTCGTAATGATGAGTTGCACTGTTTACTTTTTCTTCCAATTTCATTGAAATTTCATTGAAATGTGGTAGTGTGACATATGGCATAAAAAAAGTCTGTACAAGGAAAATGACAGGCACATGGTTCAGCAGTCCATGTATATAGTAAGATAAGTTCCGATGTGGGCAGGGGTAATCCAGTAGGCACTAAGGGCAGGCTGCGATGGAGTGAAGAAAACTCTGCAATAGAAGAAACAAAAGGACACAGCAATTCCAAGCGTAAACTGTGAGGTAAGAAGGTAAGTATAGCAACTCACATCTTGGATAATAAAAACAGGCTCATAGGGAAGTGATGTAAAACCTCTGTAGACGTCTGCCTGCCTGAGGAAAGAGCACGCCGGCCGACTCTGGTCCCGCTCATGCTCAGAAACGTGTCACACCCCGATGACATCAGACGCCCAACGTGACTAACTCCGGACATATTGGAGACCCAGCCAGGCTTCACCATCCATGCTCTACTTGATGAAGCACCACCTACTGGCAGACCAAGGTTCAATCCTCTCTGGATCAGTCATCTACATCTGGCTACAGACATTTTACATTACTTCTCTATGAGCCTGTTTTTATTATCCAAGATGTGAGTTGTTATACTTACCTTCTTATTAAATATTGTCACACAGTTTACACTTAGAGGCGCTGTGTCCTTTTGTTTTTTGGCATATGGCAGAACAGAGTGACAGAATTATGTATGTGTTGGTGAGGTGCGCAATGGTGCAAGCACCTCTCCTACAAAGTGGCAGAGTATTACAGACAGAGAAGATATTATATTTGGAGAAGTTTGGAGAGTAAAGGAAATGTATTAAATATCTGTTCCAGAAGAACTTAAAGACAAAATTGATGCACAATTTTCTCAAAGACGCAACACAATAATTACGACTGTGAAACAAGCTAAAGTGACAAAAAGCATAGCTTGCTTTTGTATAGAAACAACAATCCCATGTGGGTTATCAATGTACATTGCAAGGATTTTAACAAACTTTGTTGTAGATTCCTACCTGTTTCTGCTCTAAAAGAATAGTTCTATGTTAGACTATGTCCGGAACAGAGTAATTCTGCATGGGAGTGACTAATGCATTTGAATCTGTTGATGCACTTTGTGTTCTGATGAAAAAAGTTACAATGTCTTCATCCCTTTTGAAGGGATTATCCCTTCGGGAAGTATCTCACCAAAAATGAAATTTTTATTGAAGAAAATACCCAAAGCATGACTTAAAGCAGAGTTAATCATGCAAGCTGGAAATTACATGTATGGAGGCATTGTGTAAAGAACACCTCCTGGTTGCCATACTGCATTGAATTTTACAGAAAACTAAGGCACTGCAAGTTGAAAAGGAAAGAGGATTTTTCATAACATAAATTACAATATGGCTTGTGTAGCAATTGTATATGTTATATTACTTTTTTCTATATGCTATTTTTTACACACAAAGTAACCCTTTAAGGCTTTGTTTATCTGAGTGAAACCTCCTTACTGTCTCATAAAGGATGAACCACTGGAATGAACTACTTTGAGTCCTGTAATCAAGGGGCTATTTGCAGCTTAGCAATGTGAAGAGGAGATTGAAGCTCAATCTACTGGCTGAATCTACAGGAAGATTCCAAAATATTAATGTCATATATGTACAAAGCGAATTAATTTTTTTAATTGTACAAATCTACTACTGTTGCTGCTAGCCTGGTGCTAAGTTTCATTTCCTTACCTAAAAAGTGGCACTGCTCTTACATAAAGAGGAAAAAAGTAATTGGTTATGTGGGTTTTGTATTATTGCTCACTCTCCTTCACTAAATATAATAAAAAAGGCTGACTGCAGCTGTGATTCAAGCAATAAATCTGTACAAAGCAAAGTTTGCCAACAGCAGACAATCAGGGTCAAACAGAAAATTGTTATCACTTCAGTTAAAAGGAATCTGTGCCAAAACTATGTACAATAAAATATTTACATATTATAAACAAACTATAAAGGCACTATAAAAAAAACCCTCATTTACCTTTGTAGCTATAGGCATGGTGGAGAAATTATTTTTTAAAGATGACAACAGAGGCACTGAAATCTTAGTTTTTTTCCCCCATAACCTTCTATTGAACCAGAATCTAGTCAGCCAGACAGCCTTCTACTATAAATAATCACTAGGGGGGATTAACAAAGAGTCGTGCAAGTGCAAGCACAAACTTGCACAACTCTTCTAAATTTAGAACATGGAGCAGAGCCCCTTTGTTTATAAGCAGCGTTCAGTTCTCTGTTCTGTGGCTGAAGCAGCCTGCTCCAACCTCCCTGCCATAACCTCCCGTTCAGCTCAGAGCAGAGGGAGAAAGAGGTTTGTTAACCCTGTAGTCTCTACTTATGCTGTGTAATCACAGGCAGGCAGAGAGAGAGAGGGATATGAGCTGTCTGCTGACAGCTTTCATCCTGTACCACAGGGTCTTATCTGGTGGGAATCTGCATCAGTTTTTCTATATAGAAAACTGCCATATTCTTTTCTTTAATCAGGTGCAGACCTAGTTTCTATTTTACTCTGAAACAGGTCTGTATGCTCTGCTAATGTGGCTCATGCTACTCCTGACAGTTAATGGTGTAGGAAGCTTAATTCATTCTCCAGCAGGTGTTTCTGTGCTGCTATACACCAACCAAAACCTAACTTTAATTCTTTGATGTGTCATCTGAGGATTTTTGAGAACAAATTACTTTGCAGTACAAGAAGCCAGAGAGATTGTGCAGAGAATGGCTTGTTTTCAATCTCTTTTACTGTTTAAAGCGGAACTAAACTCTCTCAATCAACATTGCCTATTTTTAGTCCTTATGCTGCTAGCATTTGTAGGTAGATAGGTATGTACAGTATACTATATTTACTTCTTTTAAACTTTCGTTTAGATTTCTTCAGTTACCTCCTGGTTTCCAGGCCTAAGCAAAATTATGTCATACATCTCATGAATCTTCAGGTGGGGTTTTCTCAGCTAAAGCACACTCTCCTGCCTGCATGCCTGAGCTAAGGGCTGAGTTAAGGATTCCAGGAAGTAAATGCTACATGAATCATTTGCTCTTTTACTCAAAATGGCATCAACCAGAAATGCTAAGTTGGGTGATTTTCAGTGTGATTTCTCAGCAAAACAAAATAAAGAGACATGGATGGATGGAATATTAAAAACAAATTAAATAGCATTTTTAGTTTGTGGTGCTTAGATGCAGTTTAGTTCCCCTTTAAAACATGAATATTTAAGTAGATTAATGTCCGTATTCTAAGCAAATGTACTTAAAAGAATTCTGATTGGCTGCTCTAAGATACATTTTGCAGTTACCTTTTCCTGCATGAGTCTTTTAATTTAAATACTGTCTACAAAATTATTTAAATCTGGGCTGCTAATAACAGCAGAGATACACACCCTTGCACACATTTCCATCCTGGTAGTAACCTTGAGCACAAATCTGAGTACACATGCCACTGTGAGACAAAACAAGACCATCCTCACAGGAAGTACACGAGTTTAGGTCTGGACCACTGCAGGCTTTACAAGACAGGTGACAACCTGAAGCAAACAGAGACAAATAATTGATAAAGTATCACCAAAATCCAAGATGCAAGAAGACAAAAATGCAATCAAGAAAATGAAGTTTAAGCAATAAAGATACTAATTAGCAAAAATACATTCTAGTTATGATATTTGCATAAACATATCAGTTCCACCCTTTAGACCTGGCAAATTACACTAAATTGCACAAGCATGATTTTTGATTAATGATTTGTTCCTCATTGATTGGTGTGTGCCATAGGCTCTGTTATTTCTTATTGACCAGCTACAGGGTCAATACCTAGTTTGCATTCTTATTTCTACTCTCAGACTCTGCTCTTATTCTGTAGACTGAGCAAGTCAAGAGTTTACTTAACCACTTGCCTACTGGGAACTTATACCCCCTTCGTGCCCAGGCCAATTTTCAGCTTTCAGCTCTGTCTCATTTTGAATGACAATTGCGAGGTCATGCAACACTGTACCCATATGAAATTTTTATAATTTTTTTCTCACAAATAGAGCTTTCTTTTGGTGGTATTTAATCACCACTGGGTGTTGTATTTTTGTTTCTGTTATAAAATTTTGCAATCAGATAATTCTACTCCTTCACTGATGTGTGTTGATGAAGCTGCACTGATAGGCATCACTGATGGGCATTGATAGGCAGCACTGATGAGGGAGCACTGTTGAGGCGGCACGTATGGGCACTGATAGGTGGCATTGATGGGCAGCACTGATGGGTGACACTGACTGGTGGCACTGCTGGGCACTGATGGGTGGCACTGCTGGGCAGCACTGATGGGTGGCACTGCTAGGTACTTCTGGGCGGCACTGATGGTGGCACTGATGGGGGACACTGCTGTGCACTGGTGGGTGTCACTGCTGGGCACTGGTGGGTGGTAATGCTGGGCACTGGTGGGTGGCACTGCTGGGCAGAACTGCTGGGCACTGATCATCAGGGCACTAATCATCAGTCCCGATCTGTTCTCTGACAATTGTCAGTTATCGGCAGTAGAAAAGGCAGCTGATAACCAGCAATTGTATTTACCCTGAGATCGCCGGGTGCACGCCACTGGGGGCGCGTTCTGGGAGGACTTCATAGGACGCCCTCCCAGAACTGGACAACCATGCTGTAGCCGTAATTTGGCTATAGCGCGGTTGCCAAGTGGTTAAACAGGTTAGATGTATTATAATTAAACAATTGCATCTGCATTGCAATTAACACCTGTAACACACAGCATTTGATATTCTCATTACATAGTCAAATGGTGTTTATGTTATACAAACATAAGCTTAATGTGTTAGGTATATTTTAAACTACACTCTGTGCACAACTATTAAGCAAGTGAAAATTTTGACCAATTCATCATTTTTATGCATTTTAGTTGTCCAACTCCAAGCTGTATAACCTTGAATGCTTATTGAATTTAAGCATATCAGGTGAAGTGTATTTGTCTAATGAGGGAGGGTGTGGATTAAGGAGATCAACACCCTATATGAAGGTGTGCATAATTATTAACCAGCTTCTTTTCTTCAAGCAAAATGGGCCAAAAAAAAGATTTAACTGACTGCGAAAAGTCAAAAATTGTAAAAAGTCTTTCAGAGGGATGCAGAGCTCTTGAAACTGCTAAGATATTGGGGTGTGATCACAGAACCATCAAACGCTTTGTTGAAAATAGTCAATGGGGTCACAAGAAATGCATTGAGACACAAATTAACTGCTAAAGATTCGAGAAGAATCAACGTGAAGTTACCAGGAACCCATTATCTTCCAGTGCTGTCATATTCCAGAACTGCAAACTACCTGGAGTGCCCAGACGAACAAGGTGTTCAGAGCTCAGAGACATGCCCAAGGTAAGGAAGGTTGAAACCCGACCATCACTGAACAAGACACATACGTTGAAATGTCAAGACTAGGCCAAGAAATATCTGAAGAAGGTTTTAGGAAATGATGAGATAAGAGTGACTCTTGACGGACCAGATGGATGGGCCCGTGGTTAGATCAGTAACGGGCACAGAGCTCCACTTCGACTCAGACACCAGCAAGGTGGAGGTGGGGTACTGGTATGGGCTGGTATTATTAAAAATTAGGTAGTTTGACTTTTTTGGGTTCAAGATAGACTCAAAATCAACTCCCAAACCTACTGCTAGTTTATAGAAGATACTTTCTTCAAGAAGTTGTACAGGAAGACCATGGTATTTATGCAGGACAATGCTCCATCGTATGCATCAAAGTATTATAAGACTTAAATATGAAAGAATAATGACATGGCCCCCTTCCTTACGTGACCTAAACCCTATTGAACTTGTGGGCCCTTCTTAAATGGGGTATTTACGGTGAAAAAAAACAGCACACTTCTCTGAACAATCTCTGGGAGGCTGTGGTTGCTGCTGAACAAAAAGTTGATCACTAACAGATCAAGAAACTGACAGACTCCATGAATGGAAGGCTTATGACTGTTATTGAAAAGAAGGTTGACTATATTGGTCACTGATTGTTTTATTGAAATATCAGGAATGTTTATCTGTAAATTTTGAATTGTTTATTATTCTCACTTTAACAGATAAAAATAAACAAGTGAGATGGGAAAATTTTTAGTTTTTTGATTTAGTTGCATAATAATTCTGCTAATAATTGTGCACGCTAATAGTTGCACAATAATTGTGCACACATGGATATTCTCCTAAGTAAGCCAAAATCTCACTTTTACTTTCTTAAGTATTCAGGTTTGAGGCTTATTAACATTTTGGATTGACTGAGAGCAATGTAGTTACAACTTGCCTAATAATTGTGCACACAGTGTATACAGATAGTGCAAAGTGCAGAATAGTAATGTATTGTCAAAGGGCACATGGACTTATAGAGGCTTCAAAGTTCTCCAGCATAAAATCCATCCATGTTAACCAATGCAAGCATGTTCGATGTATTTCACCAAGTATGACGCTTGTGCTCTTGGGGAAATATGGATTTTACATGCATGCACAAACAAATGCTAATTCAGAAACCATCTCAATTTATACAAGTATGGCCATGTATAGCCATTCATATGTATCTGTCTAAGGCACCTGAAGATTACCAGGGATTCTATACTAGAGGACTCTGGAGCCTTTACACATCTGTGTACTTGAGGCCTTAGCCATGCCCAGAGTCATAATTGTTTTCTTTTATCAGTGCTGGAACTTTTTGTGCTCTATGCAAGCTGAAGTCCAGGGGGAATGGACCGGATGAAGTAGTTAAGATTCTCATGTCTGTAGGGCTCACTGAAGGTATACATAAGATGAATGGCCATTTTACATTTGTGTCTTACCTTTACAGTTTCTTCCCTCTACATAAAACCCAGCAGGACATTCTGGAATACAGCGGTCTCCAAGAAAGTAATATCGGGAGAACTGGCATTTTAAACATACACTTCCAGTATCATGTAAATTGGCAACACAGTATTGACACTGTGGATGACAATCTAAAAGAAAACAGCAGTTATAATTTTCAGATTTATGTAAATTTACTTCATACATAACTTCTTTATATGCAAAGTGAAGTGAAAAGTGGTTTGTGCTAGAAAACATAAATGTATATAGTGTGGGTTATTGAATAGCTTTTGAACAAAGATGGAGACTGTCATTGTTGATCTCTGTGCCTTCAGTACTTTCTAAGCCATTGACGAACTGATTTGACTTTTCAGATCTACATGCTTGTTTCAGATCGGTGCTAGCCAAGCCACTAGTCTATAATTTTAGAAGAAGGCCAGCAGTGCCACCTCCAACAACCTCTGCCTACAGGTTACCTTTAGGACACATTCACTTTATTTTTGGATTGTGGTGTTTTTAAATGGTCTGCCAACATACCACAGAGCAGCCAAAAAACTGATAAGCACAATTTTTTCTGAACAACACAATGCACAGTTTGTGCATCATGGTGCACTGCAGAGCAGGTGTATTGTCCACTACTGTATTAGTGTTTTGGGGCATCAATCAAAATGAATGACACTGCAACATGCCACTGTATATCATGTTTATTACCTTAGCAGAGTTTTCTTTTACAAGATATAACATGGCACACTTTGATTGCAATCTAGTGTTTTTTCACCTGAAATGGAATTTCCGATGTAAATACTAATTGGACCCTTACTGAAGATCTCTCCGCAAAAAACAGATGGTCCTTTAGTAACAGTATTGATTTTACTTTGTCAAAGAAGAAAACTAATTATGCACTAACACTAGAAGTTTTAAATGAGTCCAGGCAGGGTTCACCCCCTTAGTCCAGGTTGTTTGTGTAGTGTGAGTGCTCCAAACCCCACCCAAGAACTGTTAAAGAGGTTATAATGTCAAAAGGTTTTATTTTACCTTAAAGCGGAGCTCCAGTCTCTGAAGAAAAAAAAAAAAGTCAGCAGCTACAAAAGCTGTAGCTGCTGACTTTTACAAAACCGCCACTTACCTGTCCAATGATCCAGCGTTGTGTTCGCACACGCCGTCCTCTCTCCCCAGCGCCAGAATCTTAAGTGTGAGCACCCAGCTGTGGCAGCGTGTGGCTTCACAGCCTGGTGCCCACTGTGCATGCGTGAGTAGTGCCGCGCATTGTGAATGGTCCTATAGTCTTCTGGGACCTGTTATGTGTGGGGGACAGGGAGCAGGGGGAACAGTCCTTAAAGTGGAACTTCCCACCTTTTGGATGGAGCTCCACTTTAATGCATTCTATGCATTAAGGTTAAAAAAATTTCAATAGCTGTTCCTCCCCCCCTAAATACTTACCTGAGTCCTACATCACAGGCTTGACTGAGAGCAGAGAGAGCCACTGTCAAATCCTGTAAGGAGGGAGAGGGGGATGGGACCAAGACATGCTGTGTGTCTATGGCCACTGGGTTGAGCTGCTGCTTCTCCTCCATTAAGAAAGTTCTTTCATTGTTTTCTCAATGGAGGGAAAGGACAGAGGGGCAGCCTGAAGCTATTAATCCAATGGCACTGAAAGTCCTACAGTTAAGATTTCTCTACAATCCAGCTGTCTGCATGACAAGGTACAAACTTCATTACTGGCCTAAACTTCAGCTTTAAAAGTTGGGTTCATTTTTGACAGATCCACAGGTACTGTACTTGAAAGGTTTTTAACAGAACACAGGACAAAGCGCACGCAATGCAGAGATGTACTGCATATGTTTTTTTTCTTTTTTTTTCTTTGCATCGACTTACACTTTAAATCTGTTATATGTAAACTGAGCTTTCACTCCTCAAGGTGTAGTTGAGATAGGCACAAGCACACAGAAAATGTGCAAGTAGGCTGTTAGTGTTTTGTATTCACTGGTTGATGAAGTTTTTTTTTCTATCCCCCTCCTCATTGCTATTAGGGATTATTTCTTTATTATGTGTATAATGAAGAATATCAGGAAAAGGCAACACCGTTAACTGCCTTTGTAATGGTTATGGTTGTTGGTAAAACTGGAAATAGAGATACTGGGGCACTGGAGTTCCCAACATATATTAGGAACCAGAATCATTTTCAAGTTTGAAATATAATTTTTTTTATAGGGCTGGTCTTTCAGTACTTTGTTCAGTAAGGGAAAAAATTCAAAATTGTGTGTTATTTCAAGAACAATCAGAATTTTTTTCACAGTCCCTTGTAAGACACTGAGAAATGTGCCAGGCAACTCCAACAAAAATGCACAGGACCTACATTATCAGTGGCTGCTCAATGATGGAATCAGAAGCTGACAGATTCAGAAGATGACTGGCAGAACATGTCAGTGTTCGTGGATGCTGTGAGGATGAGCATACTGAGGATGAGGTTGAGGATGCTGCATTGCTGGATAAGGGCACACTTGAAGGTAATGCCATAATGTGCATTTATGCTGTACAAACTTGTACATTATGGCAACAGCGTAGTTTCTTTTTAACAAGGCCATCCCACTATTCACACTTTATGTGTGCATATGTACATGTGGAAAGGAGATTAGCTTATAAGGCCCTTAGGGGGAAAGAACCAGTGCAAGCAGTTCAATACATAGCTGCTGGAATGGATATATTTATCAAATTGATAGATTTCATCAGATTTCATTCATGTAGTTTCAAGTTCCAACAAACATAAACATTGTACTTCTCTGTATTTTAATTCATGAACCATTTAGTTATGTATTATTTATGTATTTTTGTTCCCACGTTAACACGTCAGATAGAGCATGTGTAAAATGCACTGCCTGAGAAATGGTAATACTCATACTTTTAGTGTCATTTTCACACATCTTCTTCATGCTTATGCCCTTATGTAAGCACTGTACTACATTATGTTAATCATGCCAAGTTGTATTTTTGTTGTTTTTGCTATTTTTGAAATATCAATAAAAATACATAAAAATATATGTAATGACTATTAGAAAAAAGAAATATTACTCGAGCAGGATACTATAAGAAAAAATAAAATCAACACAGCTTGTATTCATCATATCTATAGTGTATTCTTGGTCTTCTGGTGTTAACAAATACATTTCTGATGCCAGAAAGCATAAGCAATTTTCACATATAGAAAAGTTTATAAGTTAAAAAAATCCCAATAGTAAAATGATTTTTTAGATAATTGTGTTCATAAAGATGAACTAATGATTTGGAAATCTCACTGAAAGTGAAGACGTGCTGTTATTCAGTTATGAGTGCCAGCATCCCCAGTCAGTGGAGTATTGTAGTCATGAAATAGAAAGTTAGTTTAACATTCAATAAATTTTACTTTTGTACAGAAAGGCAAATAAAACCATCTATTAAAGTGTATGTAATGTCACAATGTACTTTTAAAGTTTGGATAGTGTAGAGAAATGTTTAAATACCTGACAGTTTTTTTTGTTTGTCTGTGTACCTTTGGGAAAATATCCATTCACTTACTGTCCCAGAGGAAGGTAGAAGAAATTTCCCAAAGGTAGTAGAATTCCCCTCTTTCAAAACTTCTTGGATCAAGTGTCCCTATTGGTTTTCCCTGTTCCTCTTGTTCTGGGGAAAGCTTTAAAGTTTTGGATTTCCTCTTATTTTCTTTCTAAATATGGTCACCAGTACACAAAGATGGGTCAATTTCCCCAGTATGGACACAAAAAGCTATAAAACCTTCACAGAAGGTCTAACCTATGCCTTCACTATCCAAAACATAGAGAATAATTTGCATAGAGATACAATTTAAGTGACGGCAAATGTAATGTAATTTATAGTATTCTTTCTTTTAGCATGCAACCATTCACAGAGAATATGCATGCTGATATAAGACATCTTGCTAGTGCTTGGAAAAATTACAGCTTGTATTAGAATTTATTCCAGAAGGCAAGATTACTGTCATCAGTTCCAATACTTCCCCCTATGGATTACATTATAAAGGAACCAAGACTTTCACATCTTCTAAGCAGAAGAAAGTAATTCCTATTATCACTGAAGGCATAATGACAGATATGAGAGAGGTAATGTGCGTGCATAAAACGTAATGCACAGCATATTAGCAGATTGCTCACTTGCGCTGGTATACAGTACTCTAGACAAGTACATCAATTTAATGAAATAAATTTCAAATATTGGCATACACAAATCCACTTCATTTGTAATGTAATACACAGCATTTATTAGTAATAACCAAGCTAAAATGATATAAAGCTTAGTAAACAAAATGCTGCAAAACTAAAATTGCTTTGCCTTGAAAGTTGAAAGGTAGTTTAAATTTTTTAAACTGTCTAGTTCACATAGAATATGTAATTACACCCAGTAAAAAAATACCCCCCTTTATTAATCTTTCAGCAGTAACTCTGAAATTAGGGAATTAAAATTACGCTGGTAGCTCGTTCTCAGTCAAAGTGGAATTATACTTCTAAATCTACAGTCATAATATAATTTTTTCTTTCAACAATGGCTTTCTTCTTGCCACTCTTCCATAAAGGTCAGATTTGTGGAATGCACGACTAATAGTTGTCCTGTGGACAAATTCTTCCACCTGAGATGTGGATCTCTGCAGCTCCTCCAGAATTACCATGGGCCTCTTGCCTGCTACTCTGATTAATTCTCTGCTTGCCTGGCCAGTCAATGTAGGTGGATGGCCATGTCTTGGTAGGTTTGCAGTTGTGCCATACTCTTTGCATTTTTGAATGATGGATTGAACAGTGCTCCGTGAGATTTTCAAAACTTGGGATATTTTTTTATAACCTAACCTTGCTTTAAACTTCTCCACAACTTTAAGCCTGAGCTGTCTGGTGTGTTTCCTTGGCCTTCATGGTGCTGTTTATTCACTAATGTTCTCTAACAAACCTGTGAGGGCTTCACAGAACAGCTGTATTTATACTGAGATTAAATTGCACACAGGCGGACTGTATTTATCAGAGTAAAGGGGGCTGAATACAAATGCATGCCACACTTTTCAGATATTTATTTGTAAAAAATGTTGAAAACCGTTTATCGTTTTCCTACCACTTCACAATTATGTGCCACTTTGTGCTGGTCTATCACATAAAATCCCAATAAAATAC